ATCCTGTTTCTCACCGACATACTGCCAGGAGGTGAGATCTTCCACAAGCACAGTGTTCGGTTTCACACGTATACTACAATGTTCAGATCTAACTCCCCTCCATCACTCTCCTTTGCCCCACTGTTACTCAATTTTAAAACTGCTTATCATGCTTCCACTACTTGATTAGCTGAAATTTCCTCCAATAACACTTTGTAATAGTTAGACCCATTGCCTTCAGTTGTTATTACAAATTACTTTTCCTTACTACTGTACTGAATCCATCCCTCTCACTGGGAACTTCTAAGGCTGAACGGCACTCTTCTCAATAATGCTCTCATATCTGGCCTCAAGATGAACACCTTGCCATACATCTTCTCAATCACAAATGCCAGAAATTTCAATCTCTAAAATGCTCCTTCTCTCCACCTCACTCCAGCTCATTTGCAACTGAAACCCCTTACCCATGTCTGTGTTGCCTGAAACTTGACAATTCCAAAAGAGAACCCTGTATTCTCCGCCTGATCAAGAATCTGCTCCCTCGATAGGAAATATCCCCTCAGCATTTATCCTGTCAACTCCCTTAAGAATCCTATATTTTTAATTAGATCATCTCTCATTCTTTGAAAATCTAGTTAGTAGATTCCAAACCTGTTTAGTCTCAGCTTAAAAGATAATCCCTCCAAACCAGTGATCATCCGAGTTCATCTTCTCTGAAATGCCTCCAGTGAAGTGATTGAAATGCCTCCAGTGAAGTGATTGAAATGCCTCCAGTGAAGTGATATACTTGCTTGAATAAGTGGACCAAAAAAGCTGCTCACATTCCTCCAGCTGTGGTCTTACCAGAAATTTGTACATTTGTCCAAAGACATATATTCCAAACTCTTATACTGCAATACCTTGACATAAGGGATAACATCCCATGCCCTTCCTGATTACCTGTTGCAGCTGCGTGCTCGCTTTGTGTTTCCTGCGCAATTATTCCTGAGTCCCTTTGCGTTGCAGTTTTCCACAGTTTTTATCTTTCAAATAACACTGTGTTCTTTGGTTGTCTCCTCAAAAATGAACAACTTCACATTTTCCCACATTATACTCCATTTGCCAACTTGTCGCCCATTTATCAATATCTCTCCATAAACTGTAACCCTCATGGAACTTGACTGTTATCCCTTTTTTATGAGATCCTCCCTCATTCTAATCTTTTTGTTGGGAGCACTGGGCAAGATGACACATAGGTAATTGTTATCTTTTTAAGGGGCATTCTTTCGAATGACTGGGAGAAGCTTACTGTCCATTGTTCAGAATCGAGACAACTTGTCCATCAAGCTGCGTTAGCTTTTCTGGCCCAATGTCTCATTGATGTGGCAGTGCAGCAGCACAGAAGGAAAGAAAAGGAAGCGAATCCTGCTGTCTGCATCTCACTAACTCTTGGCCATTCTTTGCGATGTGTCAAAGACCTGCTGTTCTGTTCAGTGACATGAAGTCCCAAGGTGGAAACTCCTAGAAACCCAAATAGATTTCCCCCCGAATCAACTGCTGACCTCCACAAGGGATAATGTGTCGTAGGAACAATGCACAGTTATCCTCGGCCAGGAGGAGGGGATGTTGTGAATTTCTACCCTGGACTGACAGTGATGGATTTTATGAATTTGTGTTACAGGATATTACAAGTGGACTTTCAGGTGGGAAACTCAATAATTGTAACACCAAACTCTGACAGAATTACTCAATTCATCAGGACCTGGATATTCGCATTGTGTGTGAGTATTGTGTTCCTGCTCATTCCCATTTGCCGTGTAAAATTTCTCTCTTAAATCACCCCATTCTCTCAAGAGACCTTCCCTAAAACTTTCAATATATGTCCTGTAATCCTTTTTATGATCAGTTGATGAGTGTACATTTTATCATCCTAATGTATATCTTTTGTAAACACCTCTATCAAAGATCCCCTCAAAATCCTTTGTTACAAGGAGAACAATCTGTTTCCCCATACACCTGATTCCCCAATGACTGCTTGCTGTCTATAAGACACTCATCCAGATTGTGTTGGAACATTTTCCACTTACCTGCATCAGTGCAGCCCCAACAATATTAAAGAAAGTGAACATCCTCCAGATGAAGCACTGTGTCAGAGTGGTGTCCCATCCACCGCATTCAACATTCCCCTCTACACCACTGAGGCACAGTGGCATCACTGTGCCAAAGGTGAAGTCACCATTGTCCTACCTGACCATAGGGCTGGTTTAACCTGAAGATTACCCCACCCCAGGCAAGGGGAGAGGTTGAGAAGGGGAGTCCATCTATTGTAGATGGATATTCTCGATATGTACGAGCAACGCCCAAGTCACATGAAAAAATAATGTCAAAAACAACCCTAACCATGCAACTAAAAACCCTCTTCCTACAAATCATTCTGTTAAATCTCCTCTGCCCCCTATCAGGGACCCTCCCATCCTTCGCAATGTGTGGGTGATCTTTGGTTTGCACAGACTCAGCTAGTCTCTGTTCCTGTCTGTGATGTTATCATGCTGTGACAATTGCACTGAACCTCACTGTCTGTAAAGGTGGTAGACACAGATCCTCATAACATTTAAGGTGTATTTAGATGCACACTTGTGATGCCAACGCAGACAAGTCTATGGGCCAAGTGCTGGAAAATTAGATTAGAATAGTTAGGTGGTGGTTTTTAACTGGCACAGGCTGGATGGGCCACAGAGACTTTTTCTGTACTGCAGACCTCTGAGACACTTCACATAGGAAGATGCCAAGCAATATTTCAAGCTACTTCAGAAAAGGAGATATTAGAATAAATGACTCATGATTGGTCAATGTTTTCGGGAGAAAAGTGAGGTGTAGAGATGAAGCGGTTTACCAGGAAATTCTGGAGCTTGAAGCCCAGGAACTTGAAAGTGCCGCCATCAACTGAAGGAATAAAAATCGGGTATCATCATAAGCACTGTATTAGAGGAAAGCACATATCATTGAGATTTGTGAGGCTGGAGGATATTAGAGACAGGAAGGATTCCGAGACTGGAGAAGATTACAAAAATAGGGAAAAGTGTGATTTTGGAGGAGGTTACAGAAATGGTGAGGATTGTGAGGCTGGATGAGTTTTCAAACAAAGGGAGGTTTGTGAAGGTAAAGACAATTACAGAGCGAAGGAAGTTTATATGGGCTGGAGGAATTTCCAGAGATAGGAGGGTTTTGAGGCTGGAGGAGATTACAGGGATATGGAGGTTTGTGAGACCGGAGGAATGTACAGAGATGGTGAGAGTTCTGAGGCTAGAGGGGGATTCCAACGATAGGCAGGTTGTGAGGCTGGAGAGGGATTCCAGCGATGTGGAGGGTGGTGAGGCTCGAGGGTGATGCCTGCAATAGTGCAGGTAGTGAGGCTCGATGGTCATTCTCATGATAGAGAGGGTAGTGAGGTTTGAGGTATGATTCCTGCGATAGAGAGGGTGGTGAGGCTTCAGGGCGGATTATCGTCTAAACAGCACAGTGGTGTACTTACAGCACGTGGAGTGCAGCAGTTATAGAAAGTGGTTCACCACCACTTTCTCCAAATCAAATAAAAATGGGCAATCAATATTAGTCTGGGCAGCAAAGACCACATCCCATAAGTAAATTAAAATTATGATGGGTTTCTGGTTTGGAGAGAGCTAGCAGAAGCTCAGATAATTCTCCTTGGTGCTGATTAGCAATGATTTAGTTGAGTAGTAGATTTGTTTCCAGGATATTAGTTTGCAGAGAGAGAAAAATTATTAACATTGTGGCAACGTTTGGTAACCGCAGAATACAACATTCAGATAATTGGCAAATAATGCAGGGTGAAAATGTGAAGATTACTTGACTCAGCAAAATCCCAGGATTTGGAACAGTCTGAATGGCAGCTGGATGCAGATTCAGCAGTTATTCTCGAAAGGGATTTGGGATTTTAACTTTACAAGGAATGATTAAAAGGGCTGTGGACAAATGGCAAGGGAATTGGGTCAGATTTGCAGCACCTCTAGAGTGAGAGTGAAGCCTTTGACAGGGTTCCACATGGTAGACTGACCAGTAAAGTTAGATCACATGTGATTCAGGAAGAGCTTGCTGGTTGGAAACAAAATTGGCTTAGTTGTAGGAGAGAGCATGATGCTGGAGGATTTTTCAGAGTGGAGTTCTGTGACCAGCGGTGTTCCACAGCAATCGGTATATGGTCCACTTTTGTTTCTCATTTATATTAATGATTTGGATGAGAATTTAAGGGACAAGATTAGTAAGTTTGCCGATGATACTAGAATTGGTGGTATAGTGGTTAGTGAAGGTTATCTAAGATGACAGCGAGATCTTGATCAATTGGGTCAATGGGTTGAGGAGTCGAAGATGAAGTTCAATTTGAATAAATGCGAGATATTGTATTTTGGTAAAATGAACAAGGGTAGGACTTACACAATTGATGGTTGCACCCTGGGTAGTGTTGTGGAACAGAGAAATGCTGAGATTCAGGTACATAATTCTTCGAAGTTTATGTAGACAGGTAGACAGGGTGGTTAATAAGTTGTTTAGCACACTTGCCTTCATTGCTCAGACGTTTGCGTACAGGAGTTGGGATGTTATGTTGAGGTTGTACAGGACATTGGTGAGGCTTCATTTGAGGTATTGTGTGCAGTTCTGGTCGCCCTGTTACAAGAAGGATATTATTATTAAACTGGAGACAGTTCAGAAAAGACTTGCTGGGATGTTGCCAGGAATGGAGGGCTTGATTATCAAAGTAGACTGCCAAAGCCAGGACTTTTCTCACTGGAGCATAGGAGGTTAAGGAGTGACCTTAGAGGTTTATAAAATCATGAGGGGCACAGATTATGTGAATAGCAAGGGGTTTTCCCGAGGTTGGGGGATTTCAAGACAAGGGGACATATGTGTAAAGTGAGAGGAGAAAGACATTTAAAAAAGACATGAGGGACTTTTTTTTTTACAGTGGTTCATGTGTGGAACGAACTTTCAGAGGAGGTGGTGGATGCAGGTACAGGCGCATTGTTTAAAAAACATTTGAATAAGTAGATATGTAAGAAAGGTTTAGAGGGATATGTGCTAGATGCAGGCAGATGGGATTCGTTTAAATATAAAACTTATATATTTAATATAAATTTCAAAATTCTAAATTGGAGTAAGGCCAACTTTGACAGTATTCGGCAAGAACTTCCAAAAGATGATCGGGAGAGGCATTTCGCAGGTAAAGGGATGCTTGGAAAGTGGGAGGCCTTCAAAAATAAAATAAGGAGAGTCCAGAGACAGTATGTTCCTGTTCATGTGAAGGGCAAGGCTGGTAAGTGCAGGGAATACTGGATGACTAGAGAAATTGAGGCTCTGGTCAAGAAAAAGAAGGCAGCACATGTCAGGTATTGACAGCAGGAATTGGGTCAATCCCTCGAAGTATAAGGGCAGTAGGAGTACACTCAAGGGAAATCAGGACGGCGAAAAGGAGACATGAGCTATCTTTGGCAAATAGGGTTAAGGGGAATCCCAAGAGATTCTGAAACTACATTTAGGACAAAAAAGCAACTGGGGAGAAAATAGGGCCCCTTTAAAGATCAACAAGACTGTCTATGTGTGGAACTGCAGACTGAGATAGTAAATGAGTATTTCGCATTAGTATTTACTGCAGAGAAGGATATGGAAGCTAGAGAACTTGGAGGCATAAATAATGAGTCGTGAACAGTGTGCATATTACAGAGGACGAGGTGCTGGACGTCTTAAAATGCATAAAGGTGGATAGGTCTCTGGCACCTGATCAGGTGTTATCCACAAACTCTGGGGAAGCTAGGGGAGTAATTGCTGGGCCCCTTGCTGAGATATTTGTATCACTGATAGACACCGGTGAGGTGCCAGAAGACTGCGTGGCTAACGTGGTGCCATTCTTTAAGAAAGGTGGTAAGGAAAAGCCAGGGAACTATCGAGCGGTGAGCCTGATGTCAGTGGTGGGTAAATTGTTGGAGGGGATTCTGAAGGACAGGATTTGCATGTGTTTAGAAAAGTAAGGACTGATTAGGGATGGTCAACATGGCTTTGTGAGTGGGAAATCTTGTCTCACTAACTTGATTGAGTTTTTTGAAGAAGTGACAAAGAAGATTGATGAAGGCAAAGCTGTGGACATTGTCTATATGGCCTTCAGCAAGGCATTCACCAAAGCTCCACATGATAGACTGGTTAGCAAGATTAGATCAAATGGAATCCAGGGAGAGTTAGCTATTTGAAACAAAATTGGCTTGAAGGTAGGAGACAGGGTCATGGTGGAGGGTTGTTTTTTTTTCAGTCTGGAGGACTATGAACAGCAGTGTGCTGCAAGGATCGGTGCTGGGTCCACTGCTTTTTGTCATTGATATAAATCATTTGGAATGAATATTGGAGGAATGGTTAGTAAGTTTGCAGATGACACTAAAATTGTTGGTGTAGGAAACAGCAAAGAAGATTACCTCCAAGTACAATGGGAACGTAATCAGATGGGTCGATGGGCCGAGGATGACAGAAATAAGTTTGGTATAGATAAATGTGAGATATTGCATTTTGGTAATGAAAATCAGGGCAGGACTTAAACACTTAATGATGAGGCCCTGGGGACTGTTATGCAACAGAGACTCCTTGGAGGTGCAGGTGCACAGTTCCTTGAAGGTGGATTGCAGGTACAGAAGGTAGTGAAGATGATGTTTGCTATGCTTGCATTTATTGGTCAGTGCATTGAGTATAGGAGTTGGGAGGTCATGTTATAGGCTGAACAAGATATTGATTATGCCGCTTTTGGAATACTGTGTTCAGTTCTGGTCTCCCTGTTATAGGAATGATGCTGTTAAACTTGGCAGGGTGCAGAAAAGATTTACAAGGATGTTGCAAGAGTTCAAAGTTTCGAGCTGTAGGGAGAGGCTGAATACGCTGGGGCTATTTTCCCTGGAGCACTGAAGGCTGAGAGGTGACCTTATAGAGGTTAACAAAATTATGGTGGGCATAGGGTGAATAGCCAAGGTTGTTTTCCCAGGATAGGGGAGACTAGAACTAAACACATTGGTTTAAGCTGAGAGGGAAAGTTTTAAAAGGGAAAGCGGGTGGTGCCTGTGTAGCATGAGCTGCTCGAGGATCTGGTGGAAGCTGGTACAATTACAACATTTAAAAGGCATCTGGATGGATACGTGAATCGGAAGGGTTTAGCGGAATATGGGTCAAATGCTTGCAAATGGAATTAGATTAATTTAGGATATCTGTCAGCATGGACAACTGGGACCAAAGGGATTGTTTCATGCTGTACAACTCTGACTAAGCATTTTTTGTTTTCATTTCAGATTTCCACAATTTTACTTCTGCGCTATTCTTAATCTTTCAGAGGGATCGAAAGGTTGAGTTACAGATCTATACAATGCCTTTCCTTCCTCCCTGGCTCTCCCACCTCTCTCTTTCGGATGTTTTGTGCAAACACTGAATGGATCCCTTACCTGGAGGATATTTATGTATGAGTTTGTTCTAATGATAATCCAGCATATTCCCCAAGTGTCGGCTCTGCAAATGTCCAGAGGGTTTCTCTCAGTTTCACAACCTATGAGTGTTCTTCTGGTTTCACACTCGCTGCATTTACTTTCTGTTTGAAAGGTTGGTTTGCAGTTGGAAAATTCAAACAGTTCCACATCCAGATCTGACAGTCTCTTTGTTTATCACAACCCAATTATCTCAGGATTTTGAACATTGAAGGAAAAAGCAGCATTCACATTGGGGAGAAACGCACATGGTCTGTGTGTGGAAGAGTCTGTGAAGATTCATCTGAAATGTCCAAACACCAGCGCGGTGACACTGGGGAGAGACTGTGGAAATGTGCAGATTGCGGGAAGGGATTTCTTTACCCATCCCAGCTAGAAACTCACCAACAGAATCACATTGGGGCGAAGCCATTCACCTGCTCTGATTGTGGGAAGGGATTCACTTCACCATCCAGGCTACTGATACACCAGCGAATTCACACTGGAGAGAGACCATTGACCTGTTCTGTGTGTGGAAAAGGCTTTGCTGACTTGAACTCCCCACTGATACATCAGCGAGTTAACTCGGGGGAGAGACCATTCATCTGCTTCCAGTGTGGGAAGGGATTCACTTGCTCATCTAACCCACCGAGACACCAGAGCATTCACACTGGGGAGAAACCATTCACCTGCTCTAAATGTGGGAAAGCATTCACTCGGTCATCCTACCTGCTGGAACACCAGCAGGTTCACGTTGGGGAGAGACCATTCACGAGCTCTGAATGTGGGAAAGCATTCACTCAGTCATCCAAACTGTTAACACACCAGTGAGCTCACAAAAAACCACAGTTGAAAGATTTTGCTGTCACTCAGTATCAAATGAACCATGATTTTGGGCTGTTTGTATTAATGTTACTAATCCCTGCTCAATTGAAGGTGCTGGTGTTGTGGATAAAATATTAATAACAGTTGTGTATCTGTAAGGTGGAGCTTGGAAATAGTCATGTTGTCACCATACATCAACACATTCACGCTGACTAAAGACTATCCACCTGCACAGTATGTGAAAAGGGATTTCCTGGTTCATCAGGACTGGTTAACTACCAGCAAATTTCTGAGTAAGTGTTAATTGAGTTTTAATTCTGCTGTTAGCTATATCCAAACCATGTTTTTTCGGCTTGTTTCTGGCGATCATAGAATCCCTCCAATGTGAAAGCAGACCATTTGGCCCATCACGAAGAGTGTCCTACCCAGTCTCAGTAACACTGCATTTAACATGGCTAATCCACATAGTCTGCACATACCCGGGCACTATGGGCAATTTAGCACAGCCAATCCCCACGCTAACCTGCACGTCTTTAGACTGTGGCAGGAATCCAGAGCACCTGGAGGAAACCTGCACAGACAGAGACTGTGTGAACTGCACACAGACTGCAGCCTGAGGCTAGAATCAAATGCAGAAATGGAAACAGTAAACATCCATTCAGCCCTTTGACCTTGTTCCTCCTGTCATCTACCTTCTCAAATTATCCCCATTTCCCTCATTTCTGATGTACAAAAATCTAACAGTGCCTGATTTGGAAACACGAGATGACCAAGAAACTACAGCTCCCTGGAATAGAGAATTCCACAGATTTATAGTGGTGCGAGTGAAGAAATTGCTCTTCACCTCAATCTGAAATGGTCACACCCTTATTCTGAGACAATTACCCCATGTCCTAGATTTCCCAGCTGGAGGAAACATTTACTCAGCATTGTTCCGATCAAGCATCTTCAAAAAAAAAGATAATTCAATTAGATCACTTCTATTTCTCTATATCCTACAGGTTGGTTGTCAGTTAGTTCAGTTGGCTGGACAGCTGATTTATGATGTGGAGTAATACCAACAGTGTGGGTTCAATTCCTTCATCAGCTGAGGTGACCATGAAGGACTGTCCTTCTTGACTTCTTCCCTTGCCTGACTCTCAGGTTAGCCACCACTGTTTGTCTGTCTCGAATGAGAAACAGCCTGGTTGTCCAGTAGCACTATGGTGACTTTGATTTTGTCCCACAGAATATAAGCCCTGTTTTCTCAATTTCTTCTGCTCAGAAATCCCCTCTTCCTAGGAACCAGTCTGGAGAACTTTTGTTCCACTCGCTCCAGATCATTCATGTTAGTTCAGTCATCAGAAACTGCTCACAGTCCTGAAGGGCAGACCTCTATCCTGAAAACTGCTCACGGTCCTCCAGGGCAGATCTCACCACAGGAACCTGCTCACAGTACTGCAGGGGAGTTCACTCTCGTTCTTCAAAGCCCTTTGTAATAAAAGCTTACCTACCATTCGCCATTTGTTGCTGCATCTTCTGTTACGTTCTGTCATATGTGTCCAAGGACACCTGGTCCCTCATGTGACGTTTCCACACTCAACATTCATGATTAAAATGTCAGGGGCAATAACTGTGTCACCCATTCTGTCCGAGAGCAGGTACTGCCAATGCTGTTCACATTTTGCTGTCTCTGGGCCTGACTTCTGTTTCTTCTCTTAGCCCATTTGTTTATTAACTTCTCATTATAGACAATGTTGCCTTGTACCATCATTGTGATGGACTTTGTCATTTCGTCACTCCAGCCTCCGAACTGCTTGCAAAAACATTATTCTTTCACACAAACATGCTAGTTAGGAGCAAAGTCAGAAGTCAAACAATACCAGATTGTAGTCCAACAGGTTTATTTGACGTCAGAAGCTTTCAGACTGCTGTTCCTTCATCAGGTGACTCCACCTGCAGAAGGAGCAGCTCTCTGAAAGTTTGTGATTTCAAATAAACCTGTTGGACTATAATCTGGTGTCATGTGACTTCTGACTTTGTCCACCCCAGTCCAGATCGGCACTTCCATATCAAATTTAGCGGTAGGAATTGGCCATTCGCCATCAAGCCTGCACTCCACTCTCCTTTTCCGTGACACAGTCCTAGTTTATAAACTATTCAATATTAATGTTGTCCAGTTCAGGTAAAAGGTTAGCAACACATTTTTTCACTAAATTTCTCTTCCAAAACTGTTTGTCTTGCTGAGCGTTTCCAACATTTTCTGTTTTGAGACTGGATTTCCAACATCTGCAGAATCTTGAATTTTGGTTCACTGTGGATCCGTCTGCGTAGACTGTCCCAATTAGGAATACACGGAGCTGTGAAAGAATGAGACATCAGTGACTGTCACCCCATTCAACAAAAAAAGCTCACTGTCAGGTACTCAATCTGTGTACTTTTAATCTTCACATCTGGACTCCAATCCACAAATTTTGCCTGCAAAATAAATTTGATTTTCCTCTCTTGGGGGTATGAAAGATGCTAGTATCTGACCTGTGCACAGAAAAATGTGCTGATCCCTGTGCTGGGGTCAGTAAAGATGCTGATCCCTGCCTTGGGGGCAATAAAGATGTTGATCCCGCCCCTGGGAGAGTAAAGGTGCTGATCCCTGTCCTGGGGATGGTAAAGATGCTGGGAGCAATTGTACAAGAGTGCAAACTAGATTCAAAATCAGAAAGAAAAGTAAAATACTGAGGATGCTGCAGATCAAAGTAAAACAGGAAATGGTGTGGAAACTCCTCAGGTCTGGCATCTGTGGAGACAAACACAGAATTAATGTTTCGAGTTCAAAGTCACTCAGAGTCAGCTGAACTCGAAATGATGAATCTGCTTCTCATTTCAGAGAGGATGTTTTTGGTTCAGTAGGATAGACTAAAACAAGGCTGATTGTAAGAATCTGAAATGGAGGTGAATCCTTTGTTGAGCATGCTGAATTGCTCACATTGAGTGTGAAAAGCTCTATAATTGAGAAAATTATACACAGGTCTCTTGAGGCTGCATGGTGGCACAGTGGTCAGCACTGCCGCGTCACAGCACCAGGGACCTGGGTTTGATTCTAGCCTTGGGCGACTGTGTGGATTTTGGACATTCTCCCTGTGTCTAAGTGGGTTTCCTCTAGGTGCTCTGGTTTCCTCCCACAGTCCAAAAATGTGCGAATTAGGTAGACTGACTATGCTAAATTGCCCATAGTGTCTTGTGTGCAAAATGCAGGGATAGGGTAGGGTGTGAGACTGGGTGGGATGCTCTTTGGAGGGTTGGTGTGGACTGAATGGCCATCTTCCACACTGTCGGGATTCTATGATGATCTCGATGGCCCTTTATTTGTTAGTTATGCCTAGTTAATATGTCTGCACACCTTTACAATTACGGATTCTATTGCTCTCCACAGACATGTTTCAACTTTTAATAGATATTTGTGTATTAGAAACAATGTAGTTTCATTTTGTGGATAACAATCAAAGGAAAGTCTTAAATCCAAACAAAAGATTGGGATGAGTCATGTACTATATCCCTGATTGCATTTTCCCAATCTATGAAACCTGGTGACCATTGTGACTCTGTCCAGGGGGAAATGCAGTCTCTTCAGATCTTTACCTGGTGTCCATAGCAGTGACGGATCTCATGATGAATACATAAACCAAGACATTGTATGATTTCTAGTGTATATTTTCTGTTTAGTCTGCTGTCCATCACTCCCCAGAAACCGAGGTAACATTCTGGGGACCTAGGTTTGAATCCCACCATTCCAGATGGTGGAATTTGAGTTAAAAAAAAAAAATCTGGAAATAAGAATCTAATGATGACCGTGAATCCATTGTCATTGTTGGAAAAACCCATCTGTTCACCTATGTTCTTTAGGGAAGGAAACTGCCATTCTTATCCAGTGATGTCATCATCCCCTGAATGAATTTATTAAAAATTAATTTAAAAAACTCCTGCAAATACATTTATCTCTGTCTTAATTTATTTGATAACTGACAGTTCAAACTGGTTGATGGTCACTTTCACTTTTGATCAAGTTGTGGCCATTTCATGTTTGAAACAAAAAAAGAATGCATGAATGGAACCATAGTTGTTCTCGTAGGAACAATGCGTGCTCTGACATGTTTGAAAAAATACCTCATCTCACTTATGAGCCAGATATCAAGGTTGACCAGATCCCGATGCTGTGTACCATGAAAGTGAAATTCTTCACCATCTTATCTACTTGTGTTGCTATTTCAGGGAGCTTTGGACTTGAACCTCCCAAACTGCATCACCTCAAACTAAACTTCAAATGCCATTTCTCTGCACAACATTCCAACTGATCTGTGTCTCATTTGAACTTGCCCCCCTCTCACATTAAATGCATACCCCTTAGTATTAGACATTTCCACTCTGGGAAAAAGGTTCTGACTGTCAATTCCAGCTATGCATCTCATAATTTTGTAGACTTCTATGAAGTCTTCCTCGGCCTCCACTGCTCCAGAGAAAACAACCCGAGTTTTCCTAATGTCTCCTTATAGCTCATACCCTGTAATCCAAGCAGCATCCTAGTAAACTTGTTCTGCACCCTCTCCGAAACCTCCATATCCTTCCTGTAATGTGGTGACCAGAATTGAACACAATACTGAACACAAGCCTAACTAAAGCCTTATAAAGTTGCAACATTACATCTTGTACTCAGTATTCCTTTCTTCCTTGCACAAGTCTCTTCCTTGTCGAGTCTGTGAGCTTCTGCACTTTCCCACGCAGCTCTTTCATTTACAAACTTTACCTCACAACATTACCCAACCCGGAGTCCCAACCCTACAGCTTCACCATATACTGCACTCTCCCCACATCAAAACCATGATGGCAGTGAACAATGACGACTTGTACTTCCACAACAACCCACGTCCTTTGTCTCCCTCTGTCACTAATATGTTGACTTTCCCACTGATTCCACAATTAATGTCCACGCTTCCTCCAAGCAGGCTGTCCCCACTGCCCAGTAGTGACTTCCCCAGCTTCACCAGTACTGCAGTGCCCCCCGAACACCTTGAGAATTTCATCAAACTGACCGCTTATGGCAGGAACGGACAGGGTCAGCTTGGATTGATGGTCACTGCATTAATCAACTTTCTGAAAAAAAAAACTCATGACAGAAGATGGAGAGCAGGCATAGGCTTTTTGGCCCACATCTGCTGCACCATACAATGATAGCATCGCTGATACTGCTCCAAATCAGTTTGGTATGCACCTCAGAGAGGAACTTGCAGATGGTAGTGTTTTGATGCATCTTCTAGTCTTGTCTTTCCAAGTGGTACAGCTTGCAGGCTTGGTCGGTGCTGTCAAAGAAGAGTGGGTGAGTAACTGCAGGGCATCTTGTGGATGGTGCACACTGCTGCCACTGTCCCTCAGTGGCAGAGGGAGTAAATGCTGAAGGTACCGAATGGGTCACCAGGAGGTGGTCTGCATTGACCTGGATAGTGTCAGGTTTCTCGAGCGTTGTTGGAGCTGCATCCATCTGAGCAGTTGGAGAGTGTTCTATTACATTCCTGCTGATGCACATGCTTTGGGGAGTCATGAGTTGAAGTAATCACCATAGAATCTCTTCACTTTGACCTATTTGGTAGGCACATTATTCAGATGGCAGCTCCAATTCCGTTTCTCATCAATATTAGCACCCAGGATGATGATAATGGGGAATTCCATGAAGATATACCCAGTGAATGTCACTTGGCTGTGGTTAGATTCTCATTTCTTGGATTTCGTCATTATTTGTTGGTGCAAATGTTCTTTGTCACATAGCAGGCTAACTTCAATGTTGTCCAGGCATACTGCATTTAGATATCTACTGCTTCAGTATCCAAGGAGCCACAAATGGTGCTCAAGTATTGTGCAATCATCAGCAAACATTCCCACTTCTGACCTTATGACACAGGGAAGGTCATTGATGAAACAGCTGAAGGTGGTTGGGACCAGAACCTGATCCTGAGGAACTCCTGCAGCTGAGACGATTGCCTTCCTACAATCATAAGCCTCTTCTTTATTCAGTATTACCAAACCAGGGTGAAGTAGGGTAAAGGAGGATAAGAGAATGTATAATGGAAACATTAAAAAAAAGGAAAAAAAAAGGAGCAGAACACTAAAACACAGAACAAGTAGAAAATTAAACTTGTCCAACCAGTACAGCATAAGGTAAGAGTCAAATACAACCATAAGGACATAGTTTCTGAACCTTAAGTAACTGTTGGCGGTTCACTGTTATGGACATGCAGTTAAACTACCTGAGCCACAATAACTATCTGTATAGCTTAAGATAGTCACCTAAGTATTACTCACTCGGAAAGGCCGGCATGCTGTGAGCTGATGGTGGGGTTAGAGAATCTCGGAAGATAATGTGGAAGTGGAAGTCCTGTTGAAATTAGAGGACTCAGAACTTTGTCAGAAACTGAACAGCATCCTGTCTTTGTAGTAAGTAACTGACATACAATTTATTTAATACCAATGTTACGTGCAACCATTCTGACATGAAGGTGTCTTAATATGCTGTATTGAGCTGTAAAAAGTTGAGTGTCTCCAAGCTAGACTTCGAGACCTCTTCCACATGTCTGTGGTACAAGTTTGATTAAATTCACCTTGTTTTGATCTACCGAGGTCTGAAGATGCAATCTTTTCAAAAACCGGCTATCTAAGGAAGAATAACATCCTCTCGTTCCCATTGACTTTAGCTTTGTTATGATTCCTTAATACAATGCCGTGTCAAATGGAGCCTTAAGATAGCGGATAGTCCCTCACATTTGGAATTCAGCTGTTTGGTCCATGTTTGCACCAAGATTGTAAGGAGACCAGGAGCTGAGTGGCTCTTGCTGAACTCAAACTGAGATCCATGACCATGACATTACAAAGCAAGTGCTGCTTGATGTCATTGTTGTCACCCTGTTTTGACTGCATTTACGTATCGACAGGCCAGACAATTGACTGAAGGCTTGTCCACACAGACCACGTGTATGGTTTCTCTTCACTGTGAACGTTGCTTTTACCTTCCATGTTCAAAGCTCCTGAGGACCAAGTGTTACTGGCAGCTCTTGATCCAATGTTTGACTTGAGCTGCCTGTCTGTGAATTCCCCCTTTCCAATTCCCTGGAAAATAAATTTAAAACCAAAAGTGGAATGAATGCTGCTGGATTGTCATAAAACCCCACCTGGATCATTAATCTCCTTGAAAGGACAGAAGTTGAAAAAAAAAAAACAGGACAAAAATCAGGCTGTGGGAACTGGCGACAGAGCCAGTCATTATTTGTGCAGAGCCAGGAGAGAGTGCGAGGTTTGAGTAATACCACAACAATGCTGTCTGTGTAACAATACAAACTGTACAAACTGACCATAACCTTTGTAAGTCTGCAATTAGATAAATATAAATGATATGAGCTTCTGAAAATGCATTACTGTAAGCAAGTGGGAATTCATGGACCACCTTTAGACACATGCAGTCCCCCTTTGTACTCGAGAGACTTGCATCTGGAGTACTGGGTTCAGTTCTGGTCACTGTACTTATAGAAAGTTGTTAATATGTTGGAAGCATTTCAGGGAAGATTTAATTGACTAATACATGGAATGAGTGGATTGCCTTATAAGGAAAGGCTAGAATTTAGAAAGGAAAGAGGAGACTCGACTGAAACATAAGAGATCCTGAGGGGACCTGACCAGGTGGATGTTTGAAATATGGTCCCTCTTTTGAGAGAATCTAGAACAAGAGGGTCATTGTTTAAAGGTAAGGGGTGTGTCCATTTGAAATAGTGAGGAACATTTCCTTTCTCTCAGAGGGTTGAGAATCTTTGTAATTCCTTTCAGCAGAAGGCAGTGAATGCAGAATCTTTAAACATTTTTCTAAGGCAGCAGCAGACAGATTCTTGATGACTAAGATGATGAAAGATGTTCAGGGATATGCGGGCACACAGAGCTGAGGTTGAAATCAGATCAGCCATGATCTTACTGAGTTGCACAGCAGGCTTGAAGCGCCGCGTGGCCTACTCTTGTTCCTCATTCCTATGTTCAAATAAACTGGAGAACAAAGAAACTCGAGACTTGTCTGATTACTGGAGGCGAGGAGGGTGTTTGAGCTCCAACTGCACCCATCCAGTGAATTAGTTCCATTCTATACCCTCCCCCGACCAGCTTCAATTAACATCTGGAAAATTTTAATCAAATCAATCTTCATCCTTCTAAATCCAAGGGAATACACTATTCCTGCTGAGATGATGCATTTTGAAAGAAGGAGAAGAGAACATATGAAATAGGAACCACAGCAGTCCATTCTGCCCCTCGAGCCTCAAAAAAGGTCAAAGCAGATCTATTTAGGTTTCAATTCCACATTCCCACTTTACCTTGATAACTTTTTTTAAATTCCTGTGTGCATTGCTGGCTGAACCTAGTTGCCACTGAGGAGGTGGTAGTGATCTGCTTTGTGAACCACTGTCGTCCATGAGCTGTAGGTGGACCTACAATGCTGTTAGGAAGGGATTTCAGGATTTTGACCCAGCAACACTGAAGGAATAGCGATATAGTTCCAATGAATGGTTAGTAGCTTGGAGAGAATTCATACCCAACAGAGTCTCAGAGATCTACGGCACAGAAAAAGGCTCTGCTGACTGTCTGATCTTGTCATTATCTTCCAAGTACTCTGTTATTCCATCTTTTACAGTGGACCCTAATATTTTTCCCCACCTTCATTCCCTGTTTTCTGACTCCCCTTCTTGAATACTGGAGTTACGTTAGCTACCCTCCAATTCACAGGAATTCTGAGAGTCTGTAAAATTTGAGGATAACCACTAGCGCATCTGCTATTTCTCGGGCCACTTCCTCAGCTGCTCAGAGATGAAGGTTCTGTCTCTGGGGATTTATCTGCCTGTAATCCCATTGGATTTCCCAATATCATTTTCCTACTAAAACTAATTTCTTTCAATTCCACATTCCCATTAAGACCCTGTGATCCCCTTAATTTTGGGACATTATTTGTGTTATTCTTTTTGCAAACCTGAGACACATTTTATTGGCCTACCATCACTGTGTCCTATTATAATTTACCTGTTTCAGATTATGAGGAGACCCTATTTTCTTCTTGACTAAGCTTTTACTATCAATCTTGAATTACGAGTTGAATGATGATCAGGAAACAATTGTTGACCGCCAGGAAAAACCTATCTGGCTCATTAATATCTTTCAGAGAAGGATATTGTCATTCTTACCTGGTCTGGCCTGTACGTTACTCCAGTCCCACAGCAATGCAGTTGACTCTGGACAGCCCTCTGGGCAATAAATTCTGGCCGAGCCAGCAATGCCCATATCCTGTGAATGAATAAAAAAAAAAAAAAAAAAAAAAGTGTTATTGGTTTGAATGGTCCCT